ATAGCAGTTATTTTTCAATGTTTCCCAAATCTACATTTTTTTTTTGTTGGAAAAATGGAAAAGAAAATTCTTAAGGGAAAAACAGGACACCCCCCCCCACACACACACACACCAATTAGTATGCTTTTCCTCCCAGGCCTTTAAGACTGGTTTCTCTCACCATCCTCCTTAGCGTGTATCTCATTGCTGCTGCTTAATCATGAAATCTTTGGGCACAGAGGTATTGAATAAATGCTCTATATTCTGAGGTTCAAGACAATTGATCAGTACGGACATATCTCCATTGCAAATTCTCCCTGGAATCCTTTCAGTGTTCTGTATTCTTTGCTAGGTTCACCTTGATAACACTAAAGATCTCCAGCAGTCCTGTATTGGCAGATAATGATAAAAATACTATCATATTTTCCCACCTGAGAATAATGCACAGACTATAGCAAGGACCTCAAATTTCATCATATTGAGCTACTCAAAGTGTGTGTGGGGGAGTAATTCTTCTTTAGAGCCCCCACTGTGGATGTTTTGGTGTTTTTCTTCAGCTTTGTTCTAATTTTTGATATTTACAGTTTCTGGTCTGTACCACAGTCAGCTCCTGGTCTTGTTTTAGCAGAGAGAGCAGAGCTTCTCCATCTACTGCTTCCAATTTGATTTTGGTATTGGCCATCCAGTGATGTCTACCTATACAATCATCTGTATGGTTCCCTAAAACATGTTCACAATGAACAATTTGTCATTGCTCTCCTGCTTCAGTTAGTGCTCCTCACCCAGATTTTCTGACGATATTTGATTCTGCTTTGTTTCCTACTTTTGATCCAGAAACCTATGGTTATCAGCACATCTTTTTAGGTGTGTGATTAATTTCTTCTTGGACACTTACATAAAAGCTTTCAATTCCTTTCTTGTCAGCATCTGTAGTTGGGGCGTAAACTTGGATTATGGTTATGGTTATGTAGATAGGCTTTCCATGAAGTCTGATTGATATTATTTCATCAGACTTTGCATTATAGCCCCTGAATGCTTGTGCTACATACATGTGTATGTATACACACACACACACACACACACACATATATATGTTTTTGATTGTGAAGCCTGTAATATAGGAAAGCTCCCCTCCCTCACTTCACACACACCCAAATATACATTGCTACTTCTTTGCCTAACACATACACACACACACGTGTGTGTGTGTGTGTGTGTGTATTGCAGAATCACCTCTGGTGCCTTGCAGATAGGGTTGTGAATTCCAGGTTTTGAAATTCCCAGGCATTTGATGGCAGAGCTTGGGGAGGGTAGAGTTTGGTGGGGGGGGAGCAGGTCAGCAAGGATAGGATTCTATAGATTCAAACCTCAAAAGCTGCCATTTCTTCTGGAGGAACTGATCTTTGTAGTGCAGAGGTCAGTTGTAATTGTGGGAGAACTCCAGCCATCACCTGGATGTTGACAGCCTTACCTGCAGGGGATGACTGCAGTTGGTTCTCACACACTATGGGAAGAGGTGGCTTCCGCAGAGTGAAACTAATTCACTCTTTGGTTAATGATGGGGGGAAATGTGTATACCAATTCTATGGTGAGCTTCTGTGCCCTTATTATCAAGATGTAAGATGGATCTCATTTTCTAGAAAAGAAAAATAACATAGAATAACCATAGATCTTGCATGTGTTTACTGAGTTAAAAAGAGGGAGGGGGCAGCCAATGAACAAATTAGGAGGTTGGTTTGTAATTTGGGGTGTTGAAGGATTATCCTGCCCTGCCACGTCACTTTGATTAGGCAAAATGAAGAGAGTTTCCCATTCTGGTACTATCTGATTCACACATCCCCCTACTTGCAAGATGCCTGCCAGGCCCTTTCCATAGAAAAATGGATTATTCTACAGTCAGATTAATGGGCTTTCATTCTGCAAAACATCTGTCACCGTTAGTCCTGGACAGTGAGCGTGAAATTAGTTTTGACTGCAGAAAGGCTACGTTGGTGTGTAATATGTGACTAACATTATAACGGCTCAGGAAGTGAGCTGGTGAATGAGAATTACCTGTTGAAAGGAGAACAGGCTTCTTCTGCACACCTACTGGGCAAGGAGGGATGAAGTGCAGAAACTGGAGGAGGGGTTGAAATACACATCCAGGCACTGCCTATCCACTTCTGTGACTGCAACAGATCTCACCATTTTATTTGTGGCCAGCGCTGCTAGAATGAAGACAATGAGCTGGGTGGAGTGAGGGTAAAATAAAATACATGATAGAGTTGTATTTCCATAGACATATGGAAGGAATAAGCAGAGATGCAATGCAGCCTGCAGGGGACAGAGTGATTATGTATATATTTGGAAACCTCCCCTTTTGTTCATGTCATGCTAACATATCAACTTGACATGCCTTTAAAGATCACATGGAATGTCATGAAAAATACCCACTTATCACAGTGCATGACAGCAATGCTAAACAGGTTTACTCAGGATCTTGTTCTGGTCTATTTAATGGGACTCACTCCCAGAAATGTCTTTTTAGGATTGCACTGTGTCACGCCCCCACAGTACATTCAAGAATAATGAGCATTCTTTATAACTATGCAGTGGGCTGCAACATTTAACTAGTCGATTAAGCAGCTAATACTTTCACTGGTTATTTGGTAGGGAGCAGTTCAAATTAGCATGTCTGCAAACTGAGAATATTCGTCTTGTTTTAAGGTGGGGGGGTTTGGTTCTGGTGTGTTACTGTAATGAGGCATGGGATGAAAACCAAGGCATTTACATTGGCCTTTCCTTCTAACAATGAAAGGTAATGTTTGCTTATTAAATTGTAAGTTGTCTCGTATTTCCTTACATATTTCAGTAAGACACCTGTATTGAGGTTTGGTAATATGCAAGAGTGTTTACATTTGAAGTAAAGTAGACAACTTAAAAAGCAGATGACTAAGCAATTCGTGAAGTTTCCTTTCATCAGCTGACAGCCGTACTATTTAGGGTCCAGGAACTATAACAATTCACAGCTGGAGAACTCAGTGTTCATTTAATCCGAAGATTTGCTGTCTGAAGTATGGGACTCCCTTCTTCTTGTGACTTGCAATTTGTTGAAAGCTGTGGCCTTTGTATTTCAATTGGCGATTGGTGATGGTATTTAAGGCTGGTTAAGAATTAATGTACTTTATCTATTTGTATCAAAATGGCTTTTTAACTATTAAATGTCTTTAAAATCATATCCCCTTTGGAATGGAATGGGCTGAAGTAATATATTCTGGCTTGGGTCTACCAGACTGGATGGAAGGATTTTAGCTTGTAAAGGGTGACTTTCCATCTTCCCCCCTTCTGCTGCTGTTCAACATTACACACACAATTGCTTTGGCGGAGAGCACAATCCAAGCCACTCTGTTTTATAATGTACTAGGAATAAGGCCCATTGTGGAAATAAATATAGCAAGCTCTAGAAACAGGCTCTGGGCAGGTGCCCCAGCCTTGAGCACTCAGTGTCAATTTGCTGTGGCGACCTCAGCAGGGTATAGTGACACCGAGTCCACCATTTTCTTCAGAGGAACTGATCTCTGCTACCTGAAGTACAGTTGTAATTTTGAGTGATCTCCAGTCCTCACCTGGAGATTGGCAACAATGGTTCCCCAGGAGGGAATGGCTAATTTGGTGGGTGGAGTCTACGGCATTGTACCTGTCTGAGGTCCCACCCCTCATCACACCCCACCCTCTCCAGGCTCCACCCCTCAAATCTCCAGGAATTTCCCAACCTGGAGTTGGCAACCCTATCTCCTTCCCAGCCAACTATCAACCTACCTTGATCTGCCCCTCTGACTTCAGCTTTCCATCTCCTCCCCCCTCCCTCCTGGGGAGCAGTTGTAATTCTGAGTGATCTCCAGCCCCCAGCCGGAGATTGGCAACAATGGTTCCCCAGGAGGGACTGGTTGGTTTGGAGGGTGGAGTCTATGGCATTGTACCTGTCTGAGGTCCCACTCCTCCTGGAACCTCACTCTATCCAGACTCCATCCCTCAAATCTCCAGGAATTTCCCACCGGGAGTTGGCAACCCTATCTCCTTTCCAACCAATCATCAACCTACCTTTATTTTCTCATCACTCTTCAGCTTTCCTCCACCACCACCACCTGCAGCCTCTACCATGTTCTGAAGCCCTGACTGCTACGTCACATTGGCTGTCATACAGGGGCCATCTCAGCAGGATAAAAGGATACGGAGTCCACCGTTTTCTCCAGGGGAACTGATCTCTGCCATCTGGAAAGCAGTTGTAATTCTGAGTGATTTTCAGCCCTCACCTGGAGATTGGCAACAATGGTTTCTCCCAACAGGCACTAAGGGGAAATGTATTTTACCTCAGAACATATTTTACATCAGAACAGCAACAGCAAACTGTTTAGAATGTTAGAGGTAAAGGCCAATGAGGCTGCATATGCAAATGACCTCTGTGTTCCAAGGCAAATGCCAATCAGGCCACATATGCAAATGACCTCTGTGTTCTGATTGGCTATGGGGGGGGGAGGAACACCAAACTGTTTAGAATGTTGGAGGCAGGACTCAGGCAACGCAGCCAGTGGATAGGGAGACCCTCTGAATGACAGATCAGGGAGTCAACTGATTTGGGAGCATGTTGGAATGTTCAGGGGAGTCCATGATCAAAACAGAATTATATATAAGGAGAGATGGTGAAAAGTACCAAGCAGAGTTACAACAGTCACCTATCCTGTCGTCGCTGTATCATATTTCTGAGTTTTCAGCAAGTGGGTGAAGGGGGCTTTGAGAGTGAACAGTAATGTAATTATATAAAACTAGCCAGCCCTGGGATGTACATTTCCAGTTGTATTTATTCTATTAATTCATTCTTCCATTCAGATTCATTGATCTATGAACTCAGCCATGTTTTCACCTCATCTCAGGCTCTGGAACTATGCTTCATTGCTCAAAAAATTTACACAGAGAACAAAAAAAAGTTGCCATGGTTTAAGGAGCTGATTTTGGAGCTGAGCCTCTTTCCTTGTGTTTTTCAGATGTACATTCAGACCACAACGTTGACCATTTCAGTGAGCCTAAGCGCCTCTGTCTCCTTGGGCATGCTCTATATGCCCAAGGTCTACATCATCCTCTTCCACCCAGAGCAAAATGTGCCCAAACGGAAGCGCAGCCTCAAGGCAGTTGTGACAGCAGCCACTATGTCCAACAAATTCACTCAGAAAGGAGGCTTCCGCCCCAATGGAGAGGCCAAATCGGAACTCTGTGAAAATCTTGAAACACAAGGTAACTTTCTGAACCACTTATGCCTGTGATTCTCTTTCCCTTTTAAAATATTCCATATAAGGCAGACCGCATTCATGATGCAGCTTTATAGCCCTCTGAACGGTAATATTTGACAGCTGAGATGGAGTAACTCTTCAGCAAGTTATTGAAGCAGTTGTAGAAGAAACCCTTAGGAGACCACAACAACCACACTAGTTCCCATTTGTTTGTTCTTCCTAAAAGGGCTTATTTTTCCTTTAAGCTGTGGAGATACTTACAAAATCCTCATTTCCCACATTTAGGCTTTCTGTATTACTAGAAATACTATATATATGAAGGCAGCATTCTTAGTGTCTGAATCTTCTGTTGCTGAATTTGCAGAATATGATTACTGAAGTAAAGTGAAGTAGAAAAATGGTCAAAGTAATAATAATTTTTTTTAATCCCCATGAACCATTCTTTTTGAAAGTGTTTGTTTTTCTGTTACCCAACAAGATGCAATGCAGCAATAAACAAAAATAGAAACAATTGTATGCCAACAATATTTTATCTTTACTCACTGTAATCTTGTCAGAAGAAAAAATATATATGTCAAGGGAAAAGGTTAATAAATTATTTTTAAAATATTCTAAAATGTACAAAATGTACAAAATTTAGTTTGGGATACAAAAGGGCTTGAGGATATTTTTAGAAACTCTCTCAGATGCCTTTTGGAATTGGGCACAATTTTGTTGCACTTAGTGTTTAGAGAGTTGAAAGAGATGAGCAAGTCACCATCCCCTAAGCACATCAGAACATTATCTTGACAAGTCTTCCTTCCCATTGGGCCCTCTCTGCCACCTCCTGTGTCTACTATACAATCCAGACCATGGTGTGTCCACAGCATCACCGTATGAGATGTGGGAGAGCCATGACTGAGTCTCCAGGTGTCTTTAGTTTTCTTTGAAAGGGCCATACACTGGGGTACCAGAGGGCGAAAATCGCCTTCTTTCATGTTGCTATTCACAGCTTAAGGTGGGGGAGATTCCTCTCATGGAAGCAACATGGGATGAAAGGATCCCCCCCCCCCAATTGCATGGTCTCAGTCTTTATCTCCTTGTGGCTGCTTTTAAAGAAAATGAAAGATGTCTGGAGACCAGTGTTCCCTCTAAAGTAAGTTAATGTGAACTAGCTCACAGTTTTTTAGCCTCCGGCTCACACATTTTGTCTTAGCTCAGGAAGGATGGCTCCAGAGCAAATAAATTTATGCAGTAATGCCAGCAGCTCACAAAGTAGAATTTTTGCGCACAAGTCTCCACAGCTTTGAGGGAGCATTGCTGGAAACCCAACCATATACCTCCAGCATCTCACCTAATTGTGCCCTCAGAAAAACATTTAAAGGGCAAAATGATTGCTATGATTCATGCTATGACGCAAGATGCGTGTTATAGGAAAAAGCAATAACTTGCCAAACTGTTTATCACCAGGCACTTCAAAGTACAGTAAAAATCTTCCTGTAGGCTTTTAATTTTCAGTTAAATAGTTATTGTGTTTTCTGGCATTTACTTCATAGGTGTCCCACTGTTTCCCAGACTTGCATTCTATACTTTGGATTTCTACTTGTCACTGTCCACCTCCACGTGCACTCCTGGCAATGTGGAATCGCTTCAGCATGATCCCATAATGCAAGAACAAGAGTGCTGGTTCCACTGAAAGATAAACATAACTGATCCTGTCCACAAAGTTGCACCTATGCAGTGTGGGGGTGCTCCTGTGCCGTTGCAGTCAATGGGGTGGTATCTTCCTCAAAATCCATAGTCCCAGGCAAAGCAAATGTCATGGAATACTTTCCTCAAAAGCAGATATTTGTAAGTGTCACATCCCCCCAAAGTATGAAAAACTTGTTTGATACTGGAGAAATAGTGGTGTGCAGCATGTCTGCATTTTTTCCTCATTTTTAATTTGTTTCCCCATTGTTGGGAAGAGTGCTTTTATCTTGCCTGTCTTCTTTGGCAATCATCACAGTATAGTTTGTTTCCTTTATGGCATTTTAATGACCTCATGAAAGCAGAAAGGGGACATCCCACCCACTGGTTTTCTCAGCTTCTTAGTTATGTGCCCAGTGTGAATCATAAGTGCAATGTCAATGGTGTACATGGAAGAACATTTGCACTACTAGAATGCACCACCAATTATGGCTGACTCTACCTATGACATCATACTGCTTTTTGGGTGGGTGGGGGGCTGCTGCTGGGAGCAGAGCTGACCCTGTGCTGCACATAAATAAGGTAGAGATTGATGGTTAAGGGGCAAGCATTACTCTAGTATTCCTGTCTCTATGCTTGTACCCGCACGTTGCACCTAAACCCTGCCTCAAGATTCCGGTGTGTCACCAACTTAAACAATCACCCTACACCCGTAGAAGGAATAGGGCTCAGTTTCAGGAAGATACACTAATAAAGCTATTTTGCATTTGTATAGTGCTTTCAATGGTGCATGCATTGTTTTAGTAATCCTTACAACACCCCTGTAAGGTAGATCAGTATTATGGGAGGTGCTTAAGCTGAGAGGTAGTGGCTTAATTGAGGCTGCCTAGTGGATTCATGGCTGATAGGAGATGTGAACAGAGGACTTTGATGGTTTCCTTTCAAGCATAGTTTCTTAATTACTTTGCCACATAAGTGAGTCACCTATAACCCCGACAGTTTAGAAAGCATGGGAGGGGGATGTAGACCAGCCAATAAGTTTTTGGCTTCCTAATAGGGCTGCCAGGTCCCCTCTGGCTACTGGAGAGGGGTGGAGGGTAAGATTGCCAGACCCAGGCCAGGAAATCCCTGGAGACTTGGGGTGGACCCTGGGGAGGACAGGGAGCTCAGTGAGGGTACAATGCCACAGAGTCCACCCTCCAAAGCAGCCATTTTCTCCAGGGGGACTGATCTCTGTAGTCTGGAGATCAGTTGTAATTCCAGGGGATCCCCAGGTCCCCCCTGGAGGCTGGCATCCCTACTTTCTAAGGGATTTATGGAAAAGGGGCTGATATTTTAAAAGAACCAAACATTAGGATCTGGCCCCTTTACATAGTAGTGTGAAGAAACTGTTATTTGCCACGTTTTCTTGCTTGTGACATGGTTGATGTGGAAGGAGAGCACTGCCCATGAGATGCATGAGATGACGGGGATGATGTTGTCTCCAGTTTATACAACCTATGTTCAGCATATATATGTAGCATGTGCTACCAAACCTAGAACAAATGCAAGGGGAATGGGGCATGTTTTTCCATAGAAATCTGTTTCCATGGCAATGCTCCCTGTTTCCCCTTGGGATGGGAACCCTTGCAAAATCCAATCGTGCTTAGAAGAATAGCAAATCCAGCAAGACTGGATGTTTTGAAGCACCAATTACCTGGAACTCCCATTGCCTTCAGTGAAAGCCGTGGAGCTTATTGCCTTTGTAAATCTGTTTCTGCACACTCATACACACAAATACTAGTTTCAGTTCTGCCTTCTGAAAGGCAAGCAACATAGGTGAGAACTCTTTGTAAAGCACCATTCATTTTGGAAAACTTAAGCTTTTTTATGATTATATTTGCACACAATATCATGCTGTGAAAAATGGGATGGGACTGCTTTAATTGTGGGTTGTACTTGAAGGAAGCAACCTCTCATAGGTCAGAACTTCATATTATTCATTCATTTGATTGTTCAAAATATTTATACTCACATCCTTAGCACACAGGCTGAAAAGACTGTTTCCAATCTCGTTCAGTTCAAACAATAAAACCACGAATAATTTAAAAACAACAATGAAAACTCCAGCAATAAAAGCTGCATTAAAATATGATCACAAACCGGTGGCACACCATACCTCATAATAAGACAAAGCAGTAACATTGTGATAAAATCATGGCAATGAAGAGAGTTCCAAAGTCAAGATGCCACAACCTGAAAGACCCTGTCTCTGACCTTATCAGAAAAGGATCTCTGTAGTTCAGAAGATCATAACTGAAGGTCAGGATAGTTATGGGAAGAGGCAACTCTTCAGACATCCTGGTTTCATGTGGCTTAGGCCCTTAGACAAAAATATCAGCAGGTTAAAATGTGTCTGCAAACATGCTGGCTTTGTCACCAAAGCATCTACTTCTGTTTATCCAGTGTTCTTTCAAAACTGGCACACTGTGTTCTCCATCGCACAACGCAGCCAACAGTCTCACTACTATGTTTTGAATCAACTGAAGCTTCTGGTTAGTTTTTAAAGGCAGCACCATGTAGAGAAAGATCCAAATGTAAGAATGAAAGGCCAAGTCTCTTGGTGCAGTAGGGCATTTCAGATGACTCTACTTAAGTGAGACTTGCACATATTATGATATGTTCATAAAGAACAGATGAGGTCAAATAGAGATGTTTCCAAAATTCTCTCCATACATATTTCTTTTCAGATTTAAAATTCCACATTACCAATTCTGGGTTCCTAAGAGTAGAAAATACATTTGGAATCCTCCATTATTCTGTTGTTGTTTTTTCCTTTTAGATTTTTAAATTTGGCATGCAGTACCTGCACATTCTGCAGTTTGCCATAGCTTTAGTCCCTTCAATTCTTTCATGCTTTACCACCACTCCATATTGCCATTGATGTAACTGTATGACTAGGTGTATTATTGTGCCAGTGCTTAAGAACATAAATGTGCATCAGTACAATACTGCACAAAAATAATCCTGCTTTTTTTTGCAAAGCTTTATTAATCCACATGTGCACCTTAGTAATATAGAATAGGAAAAATATTTAAATCACCTTGAAGTAATAGAAAACTGCAGAAAACTGTGTACTCCAATTGTAGGATTCATTCTTCCAGTTAAATTGGAAGTTGGGGATCATGGAAGAAAAGGTCCTTCATTGTTACCCATGTGTCTGCTTCTGTTCATCCAGAGTGCTCTATGAGAAAAATATATTGGCAATTTTAGTGCCCAAAGAGACATCAAAATGGAAGATCCATGATCATCTATTTGTCATGGGAAAGGGATTTGGATCAGGACCCTGGCAGTGGA